GTGAGTTGATGGCTGGGCTTTGACACTTTCTTGGTTGGGTTGTTTCCATTATCTATTTTCTTATTTTTTTTCATTTTGTTAGGTTGGGTGATTCTTTGCATTTCTTCCTTGCTTCTTGGTGGTTTTCTATGATGTCCTTAGTTTGGTTCTTCTCTTTGAATGCCCGAGATTGGTGTTCATCAATGTTGGCTCCTATTTTTGCTCTTCCTTTGGGATTATATGTGTTGCTCCTTTCTCTGGTTTTATGTTGGTCTGCTCCTAGTGAATTGTGGTATGTATCTCTCTGTGGCTTTCAGTATTGCCAGGGCTTTTGGGGATTTAGACTTGAGCTATGATTGCACTGGTTATATGGCAGATGGTTGGTCTCATTGTTGCTCTCCTACCTTCATGTTGGTTTCTTTGCTTACAGAGAGTATCTATGTGAGGATGACTGGTCATTGAGGTTGTGTTCACTCTATTTTTGGATTGGTTATTACCTGTAAGTGTTTAGTTGTTCCCTGGTTTTTGGCTTGGCATCTATTATACCTTTATTGGTTAATCTATTGGAGTTGGCTTGACATCTATTTTTTAGGGCATTTCTCTGGGGTTTTTAAGCTTTGTTATTTGGGCCTTCTTAAGTTGTCCTTGATTGCCCCTATGGGTAGGATTGAGTGGCTTGTGGATAAACTAAGTGGGCTTTCTATATTACTTCTATTCTGAGCTCTATAAGTCTTCATTCCTTCTTTAGCTTCAGGTGGTGGTATGGCTTGGATTACTCCATTCTTTCTAAATGTTGTATATCTTATTTTGATACTGCCTTAAATTTAGATTACCTTTTTTGGTTATCTTATAATGTCCTGTGGTCTAGCTTATGTTTTTGCAGCCATTTTGTTTTGCAGGTGGAGATGCATATGGCTGTCATCAAGTTTTTTTGCAAAAAGATTGGTCTTCAGCTCTTTACCTTTATCTTTCTTTTTTATGCTTTTCTATAGCATATTTAGAATGTTACTAGGGTACCTTGTAATTTTATTTACTGGAGATTCTCGACTTGTAGGTTTTATTTTACTTTATTTTGTAGCTCTTTCAAGCAGTAGTGAGCTGAAAATTTCCTTTAAGGACTCTATAATTGATTTTATTAATTAACGCATAGGCCCATTTGTGGGTTTTAACTTTTAAAAAAATCATGACTAGATCATGGAATGCCCTAAAACATTTCCTAACAAACTCTATAAACCATTTGAAATAAATGGACCCAACACTTGGGTAAGCTCAATCTTATTAATCCCATCAACCTAGGTTGACCTAAATGCTTATATTATATTTCCCTTTTAAATTCAATGAATCCATAGAACCCTTGGCCTCAAATCTTTCAAATAAGTCCCTAGGATGCCAAAGGGTTTTCCCAAGCTAGCCTAACCCTTGCGCGTTATAGTTTAGCCAATTGGGCTAAACCGAAGTAAACCCAAACTGGTTTAAATAAGACAAATTAAACCCTAAATGAAATTTACCCATGTTAATGTATGCATTAGGTGTCTATAGATTCCTTGTACTCAGCCCAGCATGCACAGCCATAAGGATTATCCAAATTGGCTAATCCAAGTGTTCAAAATCATTATTTAGTGAGCCATCTTTCAACCAATTTAAAATTGGCCCAAGCCAACTCTTACATCATCTACCCCTAGACCTCAGGCATCTTCCCAGGCAATCCCAACTTATGGTCATGCCTGAGCTGACCTAAATCTTCAAGAAAAGGTTCAATTTTCATTAGTTCACTCATAACTTTCTCATAAATAGACCACATAGCCCCTGCTTCCTCCTATGAGCTATTGATAGCTCATTAGACCATCCTAAACAAACTTAACTACCTAATTGTGCCTCCATTAGTAAGAATTCAATTAATATTTTGAATTAAAAACTTGTTATATACCCAAACATTTTTAAGAAGGGCTCTACTTTTTAATCCTAAAACACTTCCTAAGAGTTCCAGAGTAAATCCTCAACTTTCCTAACCTTCCCTAAAGCTTTATGCATGAGATCAACTGAGCTCTAGTGACACCTCCTAAGCCAAAACCCATCTCTTGATCCACTGCTACTCAAGTGTTTCAATATGTTCCCCATGTCAAATCGAGTGTGCCAACATAAAAAGATCTCTCAATCTCCTTCTACATTTAGGTAAATTTTGATCTTGTGAATAATGTTTTTATCTTCATCCCTAAATTAGATGGGTTAGGTCAATTTTGAGGGAAACCTTCAATACATAACCATCCAATTGTTTCAATAAGGATTCTCTATCAAATGATTTTTCTAGATCAATATGTGTAAAATCTAAAAGTTCGAATAAGTAGTTAGACCTAACACAATTGCCCCAATGCTAACCAATAGGGGGGTTGAATTGGTAATTTAAAAATTCTTGGTAATTTAGAAAAACCAATTTAAGATTTTATGCACAATGATAAATTTTCTCAAAAAAAAATTTTCAACCACAAAAAGAAAATGTGCAAAAAATAAAAAGTAGTAAAAAGTAAAGACAAAGAAACACAAAATTTTATAGTGGTTTGGTCCAACTAGACCTACATCCACTCCCTGAAGACTCCCTCTTCAGGTATTGTACTATACCAAAGTGACTCTCCTTTTGCTCCAATAGCAAGACGGAGAAGCCCTTATAATAACCTCTCTTTCACCAAATCTAGGTGCAATAGAGTACCGTCATCCTTTCTCACCCTCATGGTGACAGCAGAGAACTGACATCCTTTCTCATCCTCCTGGTGATGACAGAGTACCGGTGTCCTTTCTCATCCTCTTGGTGATGGCAGAGTACCGGCATCCTTTTTCACCCTCCTAGTGATGGCAGAGAATTGGAACATTTCTAAAGATCTTCTTTGAATAGTTCAAAGAAGTATGACAGAGATTTGAAGAACTTATAAAGAGATCCTCACCTTTGGGCAACCTTATGAACCCTTCACAAATTCCACTTATAATATCTCTCAAGTCTCACTCCCAAACACTCTCCCAAAACACTCTCACTCTCACTCTCAAAAGAAAATTAATAAAAGACTCATAGTCAGTCAGTTTTTAGGACCTTTATATAGAATGGACAAGAAATATTGTCCAGAAAATCAAAAATTTCAAGTTTGACGTACTTAGATCATATAGTATTATCGTACTTTGTATGTACTAACTGTTCAAAAAAAACCTTGTATGATCCTATATGAACTTATTTTGTATTCTGGCAGTCATATGTACAAACTGACATCGTATTGTACGAACAGTTAAAAAATAAATAGGTTTGTCTGGTGTGATAATGCACAAACCCATTTCATACTCTGGTCATCATGTGTATGAACCCTACAGCGTACAATAAAAACAAGTGAAATCAAATCATGTTCCATATGGTACAAACATGAACGAGCTTATTTTGTACTCTGGACATCATCTGTACGAAACTAATTTTATACAGTATGAACAATCCAAAAAATTTATCTGTTCGTATGGGACAAACTGGCATGCACCCATTTCATATTCTGGATGTCATTTGTATGAAACTAATTTTATACAGTACGATCAATTTAGAAAAAGGTGAGTTCATTTGGGATGAATTGGTATGTATCCATTTCATACTCTAGATGTCATTTGTATGAATCCAACTTCGTACAGTACAATAAGTACAAAAGAAATTTCCAAGGCATGATTCGATTAACTTCTTTCTGGAGGAACACTCTGGTCAAATTGTCCAGTATGATTCAAGAATCGTATAGTATGATTAGTTTTAAAAATATAAGTTTCGAATCACTCGCCCAGTGTGTGAGTGTGTATGGTTACCCAATTACAATCACACATTCTCTCATACTCAAGAAAAATAGAAAAGGGTAAAGACTTTAATTACAAAAAAACCTAATCTAATTTGTCTTGAAGTCTTTGACATCCTGGAATATGTTTTCTCTAAAATATTAGTACACACAAACAACACAAAAACAATTTTTCTAATATATGTTAGGAGAAACAATAATCAACACAATAATATTTTAGTATCATCAAAAACTCACATGATATAAAAGCATAGGTTTGAAAACTAAGACATAATAAAATCCATGAAATAGACCTGTCAGATAAAGAAAAATAATGCATACGACTAAGAATCACTATAGAAAGTAGAAGAAAAAATTATAGTTATCCATCTCATTTGATTTCACAAGATGTATGTCATATAGTCATATTGGATTTCATCCTTCGATCATGTAGTTTTGACTCATTATATCAAAGTGTTTGAACTCTAATTGAGTGGTTGATATTAATGTTGCGCTATCTAAAAGGTGCCCACCACCATTTAAGTGGCCAGTCAAATAGAGACAAGTCCTAAAGTGCACGTTGCTCGTGTATTTTTTAGTGAATATAATTTATGAAAAGTGCTCAATTTATAAAAATTAATAACTCCTTGCACAGTTAGCAAAATTGCATGAGTAAGCACTCTATGGATTCAACATAAGGCGGCATTTCAAATGCATATAAAATTATGGCTTGGTATTCAATATATTTTAACTAATTTGATAAAAACAATCAATTTTATTTATGAAATTACTTCATTTAGAATAACTGATTTGGCTTCAAATTTTTAAGAAATATTATTAAAAATGTTATATATATTCCCAATTTTTTCCAAGGTGATCTGAGGCTTGGTTAGGCCTTAAATTGAATTTTAAATCTCTAGGTCAAAATTTGACCTAGAAGCGAGAAGAATGCATAAGGCTTTAATTTTAATGTGTTCTTTTGTGGATTTTTAGATTTAATGTCAAGGAATAATTAGCCTCTGATTTCAATCCAAGCTCTAGTCTATTATGCCCAAAATTAATTTTTGAAAGTATAGATAAATTTATTTTAAAATTTTATTACAAACTTTGGAGAATTTTTGTGAGCTCAAATTACTAGGATTTATTCCATATGTCAACCTTAACCCATGATTTAAATTTTAAGTCATTTAGAACTTATTTGATCAGTCAATTAGTAAACCAAAACATTACTTATAAAATTGGTCTAGGGAATTCAGTAAATGTCTCTTTTCCAATGTTCGTATTCTCTCTCCTTGTTGCGCTCCCTAGCTATGGTGATCGTGGTTTCTAGTGTTTGTTGAGTGTGATCATTCAAGCCATTTAGTTTTTTTTTTATTTGTTTTTGGCATGTGCGTGGTTTATTTCTATTAACCCAAGTGCTTTTGGCCTTAGGGTTACGTTGCGATTGTTAGATGGCAGCAAAACCTTCTTCATCTTCCCCAAACTCGTTGGGTAAATTGCCAGCTGGAGCGTCTATTTCATCAAAAAGTTTTTTTGATTCTAAAGGCTTTGTTAACTCTAGTAAATCCCGTTCCTTTTGCGATGTAGTTTTCAATGCTTCTTCTTCTATTGATCCAGTTTTTTTCTTTTACTAATTCGTTTGTAAAAGGTGTTCCTTCTCTTTTGATGTCTGATGAGGACATTATTAAGCTTTCTAGCCCTTTTCATTTCACGCTTGTTGGAAAATTTTTGGTCCGTAGACCTAATTTAGACACGATTCAAAATTTATTCATAAATTTGAAGTTATCCAGTGTTTTTTCTTGTTGGTCATATTGATGCTAGACATATTGCAATCCAACTAAGTAATGACTTGGATTATAGTTGTGTTTTTGCTGCGAGATCATACTACATCAATAATTGTCATATGAGATTACTCAAATGGACACCGTACTTTGATGTTAAGGAAGAATCTCCTATTGCGCCTATTTGAATATCTTTACCCAATTTACTATTACTTTTTTTTAATTCACATGTTCTCCACGCCTTGGATTCTATTTTTGGTAGTCCATTGCAATCCAATCAAGCTACTTCCTTGAAATCAAGGCCTTCTATAGTGAGGATATTGGTGGAATTGGACATTATTAAGAAGCATTCTAAGTAGATTTTGCTTAGTTCAAAAAATTCTGGTTATCTTCAAAAAGCAGAATTTGAAAATGTTCCTTCTTTTTATAATCATTACAAGATCCATGGACATTCAACCAATGAATACTTTGTGCTCCATCTGAAACTTAAAAAAAAAAATAATGAAGGTTCTAACATTGTAGTAGAAGGTAACTTTGGGGAAGAGGAGAAAGAAGATATATCAACGGAATTGCATGGTGTGAATAATAGTGATGAACAGGCCGTTGGTGAGAATTTAGATTTTTGTCATTATGATAAATCTATTGATGGAAACAATAAAATTTATCCCTACATTTTTCTCAATGAAACTTTGGAAAATAATTCCCTTATTAGAACGGATAGGCATAATTTGAATGGTATAAATTGTGAGGATAATAATCTTGGTATGCTTGATTCTAATGATTATCATATTATTGGTAATATAACTATGCTGGTAGGTGTTATGCTGATAGGTGTTATAAGTGATGTTTTACCCACTTTACCTCAAACTCAATGTACTTTAATTCATAATTATGGGATGAGTTCAAATATACAAAATGACAAAAATGTTGATAATGAGGAAGGTGATATTTCTGATCATGAAAATGAGTCTCTTATGGATAAGCAAAATGTGGTTTCAACTAAGCCTAAGGGGAATGAGGAGCACAACAAGAATTTTGAAGAGGATTATGTTAAAGCATCCAAATTCAAAAATAAGAATAAGAAAAATGGTGGGGGTAGTTCATCTAGGATAACAAGAGCCTCAAATGTTTCTACCAATTCTAATGGTTGTCTCTCATTTGGAATATACGGAGGATGGGGGCTTCCTTGTGCAAGGACAGGGTGAGAAACTCAAATAGGATCCATAATATTTAGCTTCTTGTTTTAATTGAGCCTTTAATTTCCTCATATTTCATTGATTCATTGTTGTCCAGTCTGGGTTTTGATTTGGCTTTTGGTAATTGTTCTAACAAGATTTGGTTATTTTGGAAACTTGACATTATAGCTAATTAACCTAAAAATGTGCATACACCTATTAATATTTTTCAATTATCATGATATGCTTCTTTTGTTTATGCTTCTTATTCTATACTTGGTAGGAAAACACTCTAGAAATAGTTTAGTGGTGTTTCCTCCGTTACTTTAGCTCCTTGGATGATTGGAGGTAACTTCAATACCATTTCTAATATTAATGAAAGAATAGGGGTAAACCATCTAATTCCTATGCTATGGATGATTTTAATGATATGATTTACAATTCTAATTTGCATGACATTGGCTTTTCGGGAAATGCTTTTACTTAGAATAAGGATACTATGTGGCAATGATTAGATCATATTTTATTTAAAGATTCTTGGATTTTTTCATTTTTATTTACTCATATTGATCATTTAAGTAGGACTTTATCATATCATTCCCCTTTACTTTTAAATATTTCTCAGTAGCAGCAATACTCCTCCCTTTAGATTTTAAAATATGTGGATTTTAGATAATTCTTTTAACACCATTATCAATAGAAATTGGCATGCTCCTCTATTTCCTTATGATAAGGGCATGACTAGATTCTGCTTAAAACTCAAAAGGCTTAAAAAAAATTTGTATTGGTGGAATAAGTGTGTTTTTAAAAACATTTTTTTCTAATATTTCTCAAACTGAGGATTTGGCTAATAGTGCGAATATAAATTACATGAATGTCCCTTCCTCTTAGAATCTTGTGTTACTTAATGAAGCTAAGGCTTCTTTGTTTAAACATCAAGAAAAAAGGGAGTTTATTGAAAACAAAAGGCTTCTTCTAAATTCTTGGTTGAGGGGATAGAAATACTAATTTTTTTCACAATATTGCTAACCATAAGAAAGTTATTAACCACATTCACAAGATTACTCCCCCTAATGGTGTTTCTATTGATAGTCTTGATTTGATTTATGCCTCTGGTATTGATTACTTTCATTGAGTTTTTAACAAAGATTTCTCTCTAGATTTAAACATTGATTATTTTTTCATTCCTTCTCTTATCTCTCAGGAGGAAAATAATTTTTTTACTAAAATGCCTAATGAGCAGGAGATTTTTTTAACTCTTAGTAGTATGAATTTTGACTCTTTTGTCAGTCCAAATGGTTTTACCACTAAGTTTTTTCAAAAATGTTGGTCCATTATTAAAGAAGATCTCATAAATGTTGTTAGGGATTTCTACTTGGGGAATCCTTACCCCAATTTTTTAACTTTTACTTCGATTATTTTAATTCCTAAGAATGATGCTATTAACTTTTTTTATTATTACCGTCTGATTAGCTTGTGTTCTTTTTTAAATAAGCTTAATGCTAAATTTTTTATGTGTAGGATTTCTATTTTATTACCTAAAATCATTTCTTTGGAAAAAATGACCTTTGTTAAAGGTAGGTCTATCTTTGATAATGTTTTAATGGATCAAAAGTTACTTCATGACTTGGAAGTTAAAATTATTGGTGGTAATATTATTTTTAAGGTTGATATTTCTAAAGCTTATGATAGTTTAAATTGGGAGTTCTTTAACCTGATGTTAAAGCTTTTTGGGTTTAATATGGATTATATTAACCTTATTAAAAATAGCATTGAGGGTTTTTTCTTCTCTGTTATGATCAATGGTAAATGTCATGATTATTTTAAGTCCACTCATAGACTTAAACAAGGGGATCATCTTTCCCATGCTTTGTTTATTATTGATGTTGAAATTCCTTCTAGAGGTCTTAACAAGTTATTTTGAAATCATCCTACATTGCATTTTAGAATGCTTGGTGGTTAACCTATTACTCATTTGAGTTTTGCTGATGATTTCATTATTTTCACTAATGGCTCCATTATAATGTTGTATATTTTGTTTACTTTTCTTGATCAATTTCAAAGAGAATGTGGTCTTATTTCTAATCCTCACAAGAGTTGTTTCATCACTTCCAAGTCTATTTCTAATCAAAGAATCCATGATATCTATAATAAGTTTGTCTTTTCCCATAAGACTTTACCTTTGAAATATTTAGGTACTCCTCTTTTTAGTGGTAGAAATAGATCTCACTTATTTGAAGACATCTTCAATGCTATTCACAAAAAACTTACTACTTGGGCTTTGAATTTTCTTCTTATGGTGGTAGGTTGGTTTAATTAAACATGTGCTTTATTATATTATTATTTATCTCTTTCATACTTTATGCCCTACAGGGAATGTTTGTTGTAGGATGGAAAGTCTTTTTAACAATTTTTTTTGGGGTGTTACAGACACTAAATCTACCATTTTGTGGACTTCTTGGACTAATAACTCTAGGGATTTTTAGGAGGGGAATCTTGGTTTTAAAATTATAGGTGAGATGTTGACCAATTTTTCATACAAACTTTAGTTTTCTTTTAGATCTAAAAAACGTATGTGGGCTAAATTTATGATTGTTAAATATTATGCTCATTATCATCCTCTTGCTTGTCACTTTAAACAAGGTGATTCTTTTAATTTGAGAAGGCTCTATGCCATCAAGTGGGAGGCTGAAAATTTTATCCAATGTATTTTGGGTATTGGCAATATCTTATTTTGGTAAGATAAGTGTTTGGGTAACTTTTCTATTAACAGTTTTTTAAAAACTTATTCTACTTTTACTTGCAAAGTTAATTATTTTATTTATAATGGTATTTGGATGTTAATTTACTTTGTGAAAATGTCCCGCGTTTAATTGTTAGTCTTATTCTTAATATTCCTATTTAATTGGATAATGAGGATATCAATATGTTTACTAAGGCCAATGATAGTAAGTTTGGTTTAAAGCAAGTTTGGCACTCTATCAGACAATCCTACCCAAAGGCTTTACTTTATTAAGCAATTTAGAACCATGCAATCCCGTCTTCTTACACTATTTTAGTTTAGCGGACTATGCATAATTATTTACCGGTGGGCTTTAGGCTTATGAAAATGGTTTTCACCTTATCTCCAAATGTCAGTGGTGTTATCACATTGAGAACATAAATCATGTTTTCACTAATGGTCCTATAGCTCTAAAAGTTTGGCTTCACTTTGATAACATTTTTAATGCTCATTTTTGCAATAATTATAGCTCTATTATGAATATTTTTCAAACCTGGTTTACACCTTCTAAATGTCATATTCGTAATATTTTGCTTATTATTATTTGTTGGCTTTTATGGAAGAATAGAAACGAAGCTAAACATGAAAATATTTTTATGAATGCGATGACCATTGTTGGTAAAGTAAAAGATAAAATTTTGTAGTTGTCTTTAGCCAATTTGATTAAAGGCAATGCTTTCATTGGTTATTACCACACTACTACTGATTTTGGTGTTTCTTCTCATTTAGACCCCATTGTTATTACCATAGAATTGTGAGATGGATTAAACCCAATGATGGGTGATTTAAACTCAACATTGATGGCACTCTTAATGATTCCAATGCGGGTTGTGGTAAGCTAATTAGAGATTCTAATGGACATGTAGTCATTACTTTTCGGGTCCTAGTTCCTCTAATAATGCCATTATGGCTAAAATTCAAGCTTTGCAATATGGTTTACATTTATGTATCTCTTTAGGTATCACTAAATTTTGGGTTGAAGTTGATGCTAAGCTTCTTATTTATTATATTAATGGTAATACAATGTCCAACCCATCATTCTTTTATATGATTAGAGATATTAAACAGTGTCTTTCCCTCATTTCTTTTTTTCATTATCCATGTTTTGCGTGAAGGAAATGCTACTACGGATTGTCTTGCCAAAATTGGTTGCAATTTGAGTGATTTTACTAAATATGGTGTATCCTTTTTACCTGTCAACCTTAAGGGTTTGGTGAGATTGGACCATTTGGGATTTCCTTATGTTCGGTCTAGCTAAAGCTTTAGTTTTTGGTTTTATGTTGAAGGATGTCTTCTTTGGCTTCTTTTGGGGGTTTGGGTCCATTTTGTTGGCAATTTTAGGTCTGATCTCGACTTTTAGTTGGTTTCCTCACTGGTTTTTTTCTCTTGTTGCTCTGGATTTTTTTTTTTTGTATTCTTTTTGCATGAGGGGTTTTATTTTGGCTATGATTTTTCATCTTAAGGAGTGTGTCTCTATTCATATATGTTACTTACCCTTTCTTATTCTGATCTTTATTTGGAATGGGAATAGAATTATTTATAGTTTGAATACTACTTCTCATAAGTGTTATAATCTGTATTGGTTGTCATATTATTTTTTGAGTGATTTGGTTGATAGTTTTCTTATCTATGATTTATGTTTATTTCTTTATAGTGATTGGATTGGGTATTTTTTCCTTGTTCATATGTGGTATTTGTTGGTGATGCATCTGATTGAGTGGCTTTATCCTTGTTTCTAGAGTTTCATCCATATGCTGGGTGGTTTTTGGATTGGGTTTGAGTAGCAAGTGAATACTGATAATCATGATTTCTTCGATACTACACACTTGAGAAAGTTTCTCATTTTATCATGGACCTTTCATCATTAGAATTTTTATGTTTGGTTTGTTAAGTGTGCTTTGTTGTTTGTTGTAGGCTGATGTTGCCCTATTTGAGCGATTTTATTTTGGTTGTTTTCCTCTATCCTCATCTGCGGATGTGGTTGGATTGGTGTTGCTTTATCTATACTTGTGATGTTAATTTTGTCAATGCTTTTTAGGGGCATATCATTGGTTTCGGTATTTGGATTTGCACTTTCCCTTTATGTTCATTCATGTTCATATCTATGGCAATTTTTCCCACTTACTATTATATTGGATTGGTTGGTTGTGGCAAGGTCTCTACATTGCCAATATAATGGGGACTTTATGGATCATGTATTTAGTTATTAGTGGGGTTGTTATTACATGTTGCTCGATATTTTTTATTACGTTTGGTGGCTGCTATATCTCTGTTGCCTATCAGATTATTGCTCTTGCATGTTATTTGGTCAATTTTTCTAATGTTTCTATTGATGTTTGGTACCATTTGTTTTTTTTTTTTTTTTTTTTTTTTTTTTTTTTTTAATTATTGTCATGAGGCTTATCTTTAGGAATGTTTTTCTAGAACTCTATGCAACATGGCTTCACTTATTTAAATATGTTGGGTTACTTTGCTTTCCAATTCTGCAATAGTTGGATTGTTTATATGAAGTGTTGTTGTAACATTCATCGGAACTCGAATTGTTGCTTTGGGGGCCTTAATTCTCTTCTACTGGGTGATGTTTTGTCTATTTTGAGATGTTACACTTTAGTAATTTGGATGATGATTCTCCCACTATAGCTCGGGTTATGAACATTCGCTCTATTTGGTATTGCTTTAAAGTGGTTTGTTTCACAATTCCTTCTCAGTTACAGTACTAATTTGAGCATTTCATTATATGATAGCAAGGTTTGTAATGTAAGATTACATAATGCAAGAAACAGGATAATTTTCATAGTGTTTGAATGGGTTTACTTCACTTATATTTTATATAATTCTAATTGCTACCAACTACTAACTATTTACAAATTTTTTTGTTATATCCATATTTTGTTGTGCTTGTTTCTTTTTTGCAGTCCCTATTTCTTTCAAGTTAGTTGGACTGAGGCTTTTGTGGACAAGATGAGTATTTTTTGCAAGAAGACTATGATGAATGTCTCTTTTCTTATCTTCTTTTTTTGGATGTTGTTTACTTGCAGCCCTAAAATGTTATTATTTTTTTAAGCAAATGCAAAGAGCAATATTATTAGAAAAAACTAGGAAAGGAAAGCAATAAGTAAGTGATAGCTAGCCTATCACAATCTTCCTTCACTAAGAAAGTAAAAAAGTGAAGGAAGATTATTATGGAAAATGTTCCAAAGGAAATTACCACTAAGAGCATAGGTTGCACAATAATTCACAACCTTATTCTCATTTATATAAATATAATTAAAAATAATATAATTAAAATCATATAAAAAAGATAAATCTAGACAATTTCACTTTGCATCTAATCAAAACTGAGAAGTCAATGATTTTTTAAAAAGCTTAATAATGTTCATGTTGTCTCCTTCTATCCAAATGCCTTCAGAATCAATCATCCATGCTTCTTGTACATCTTTAATAAGAACAATAACAAAAATTTCAAGTTGAGTTATATCATAATGAAAGAGCTTCTTTCCCATAGTAGAGATGTGAAAGTTCGTTAGGGACGTTAAGCCCTTATGAACTAGCCCGAGGCTAACCAAGAGGGGGGTTAATTGGTGTTTTAAAATTTTCTTAATCAAAAACAAAATCTTAAACCAAACCAAAATTCAAAATAAGAAAATTAAAGTGCAGAAATTAATTGTAGAAAAAAATAGTAAGAATGAACACAGAGAAATTTATAGTAGTTCGGTCAACTTGACCTACATCCACTCCCTAGAGCCTCTCCTTCGAGTATTTCACTAAACTCAGTGACTCTCCTTTTTCTCCCACAGTAAGGCAGAGAAGCCTGTACAAACCTCCTTTCCACGACACCGCTGAGGCAAAGAACTCAACTCCTTTTACTTCCTCCTGAAGCAGGCAGAAAAACTGACTCCTTTCGCTTCCTCCTGTAGCAGGCAGAGAATCTCGATTAATTGCTGAAGTAGACCTCTCTCGAACCTCCAAGGAACTAGAGACGATGACCAAAGAAGATTGCTCGGATCCTTGCTTGGAGCAACCTTTGTGAAACCCCTCACAAACGCCCCCTCACAAGATCCTCTCTCTCTCCCTTGCTCTCCCTCTCTTATTGGCTCTCTCAGGTCAGACAACAGCAAAAGATACAATCTTGAGTAAATAAGAGGTCTTATATAGAAGAGCTCCAAATTTTCTCATAATTGCAATAAACTGAAATAATCGTCCAGGATGATTGAAGGATCGTCCTGTACGATCAATACAAATTCAGCTTAATTAGTCAGGATAATCTGGGAGAGTTTGGATAATTAAAGGACTTGTTTGTTATGATCGTCCAGGATGATAGGATATTATCATGTATAATTAGTTTAAAATTATTGAGTATTGTCCAGAACATCACCCTGATTACATATCTGGATGATGGAAAACTAAACTGATCGTCCTGGGTAATTTCACAATCATCCAAGACAATTAGTTCAAAACATCAAATATCATTCAGAGCATCACCTTAATTACATGTCTTGACGATGGAAAAATAACTGATCATCTAGGATGATTTGGGATTGTCCCGGACAATTAATGCAAAATAATACACATGGTCCAGAACATCATTCTGGTCATTTAGGAAGAAACTAAAGTTTGTTTAACTATTCATCCTGGACGATCCTGCGATTGTCTATGACGATATGATCTAGCAACCAAACCTTAATTGTTTTCCTTAATTACCAAACTAATTTAGTCATAATTGCACAGCTTCGTCCAGGACAATGTCCTAAATGATGTCTAAAAATTAAAACATGCCTAAAAGGATCTAGCAGCTATTTCTTTCTAATTTGAGCCTATCATCCAAGACGATGATAATATCGTCCAGGATGATTTGCTTAATCGCGGCTACCTTAACCAGGATGTCCTAATTAGTGTTTCTATTTTTAACTAATCATCTAGGATGATTTTGGATCATCCCATATGATATGATAAAAAAAATAGAAAACTCTAAAATAGACAGAATTTTTTCCTGAGTGTGTGTGCACAAGGTTACTTAGTATTAAGACCTTTTGTTACAATTGACTCAAGAAAAGTTAAAAAATACTTAACAATGATTTATATACTGACTCAATCCTAATCTACCCAATCTTGATCTGGCTTGATTTGCAATTGGTCTTGTGGACCTGCTTTGTTAGTATGCAAGGCAGTCGTAGAAAAATAGAACTGTCAGAAATGTTTGTTATTATCAAAATCATAATTCCTGAATCCAGATTTGCAACAAGATGAATCTTCCTTTGTTATGTCTTATAATTCCTCCAATACTTGCACCATTATTGCTAAGGAATAAAGCATCAATGTTTATTTTAATCCATTTTGGAGGTGGGGGATGCCAAAGAAATCCTTTTAGTCCATATAACTAGTTAGCAACCCAATTATCCAGAAAATGATTAAGATATGGCTTAATAGATATGGATAAAACTTTAGTTGAAATAAGCATATGATAGAATTCCTATCTTTCCAATTATAAAAAAAGCATAGTAACAATAAATTCTAGCTAGAACAGGAATTTTAGTAGCTAAAAAGTGAAGATGATACCTCATATCCGAAACCAAATTAATGCAAGGAATATTGATTCCCCATTTCCTCAGAACTTCAAAAGTTTCAATCAGCTTTTTACAGGAAATAGAAATATGCATAATGTCTTCTTCTTCTAGATAGCCTCTCAGAGAAAGCTTGGAATTCAATAAAATGCTATAAGAAAGCAAACTATTTGTAGGAAGAGCATTTCTTCCAATTCTTCACTAAAAAAGAAGAATTCTAGGTTGCAACTTGAGCTTCTTTAGCCAACTGAAATCATTGGATTCACAATATTTGAAATATTCTTCAAAGGCTAAAACTTCTATCGATCTTCCTGAATGCTGATGAATTATCTCCATTCTATCTTCAGAACAATTTGGAAGGAATTGAACTTGCTTTATAATGTTGATCAGCTCTTCCCTAAAGGAGTCTTGCAAAAAACTATAATCAAAATCACCATTATCATTTAGCAATGCATCAATCAAGCACCTTTCCATAATGTTAGCATTAACATACGTCGACCAAACAAAAATTGCTTTGTCACTGAACCAAACATCCTCTAAAATGTTGATGTTTTTTCCATTCCCAACTCTTCATCTTAAGATAGGCTTTAAATGCTTTGCCCCATTTAAATTGATTTTCCATATTGCTGAAACTCCTCTTTGAGATGAAGACCAAATATTACTACCACGTTTTTCTATAAGAATTCTATTTAATTAGTAGTGTGTTTGGTTTTTGAATAAAGCTCCATGCCATTTTTTATCTCAACGGGCCTTCCCATAACATACATGAATGAAATCCAAGGCCACCTTTTGAGCTTGGTAGACAAAGCTCATTCCAATTAATGTAATGCATACCTTGCTTTTCATTATCTTTATGCCAAAGAAAATTTCTATAATGCATATCCAATACTTCAAGAATTCCTTTAGGCACAAGAGAATGAGTAATAAAATATGTTGGAGGAGATAGAAGAGAAGAGTTTATTAAAGTAACTCTTCTAGCAAGGGATAAGAATCTACTTCCCCAAGAGCTTAGCTTATCTAAGGAATGGTTAACAAGATTATGAAAATAAGATGAAATCATTAGGAGTTTTTTGTAATTCTTAGTATAGGGGATCATCGGCTCTTAGGTTTTATTTTGAGTTTTAAACATGATTTTCGCCTCCCGCTCTTGCCCTAGATACTTCCTTGCCCTAAAAATCTCGCATTCAAAGCTACGGCGGAGCAGGTCAGCATAAACTATCGCACGAGCTGCTCTTCATAGCTTGAAGAAGTCGTCTTAAATTTTTTCTTACCTATTTTGTTTGTTTTCGACCTCCAGCTCATGCACGGAAGCACTCTTCACTAGCTTTCCCTTTCTTCTTTAAAAATCTGTCCCTGTGGCCAGTTGCCATGGAACAAATCCCGGTATTGTTCGCTGAAGACGGAGAAGATGATAGAAATGGTTGTGTTTTGATTTGTTTTATATGGTTTTCCATCTTTTCAGATGCATTCCTTAAGTTTAGCATTTGATTCCGTGTTTTGCTCAAAATTTTGATTTTATTTTGTTGAACCGCTAGTCACCTGCTTTCCCTTTCTCTGGATCCACGACTTGATTTGTTTTATTTGGTTTTTTTTTGGGTTTAGTTGTAGTGAAATGAAATTAAAAAAAAAAAATCCTCTTGGTGTTGTATGGAAGAAATTATTATAGTGAAATTAATAAAAAAAACTATCTTTGACTAGTTGTTGTTGAATTTGAATGAACTGAACATAAATGTCTAGATGACAGCTTTTGATAAGAATGAATGGAAAGGAATTCATGAAGTAAATAAAATAAAAAAAGTTGGTAAGACTGATGAGTTTGCTAATTGTGCTATATTTGTTTGTTTATTTCATGTAATGAGCTGCGCTAATTATAAATTCATGTTCTTGTGATTTCGTTTAGGCCAAGAGCATCAATTTTATGTTAAGCATCGAGACATGAAATATATAGTGCTTATTTAATACTAAGAATGTGTAATTTAATTACAAATTATTATATATTTTGAGTCACTGATTAGATTGTAAGTATTATATTTAATAGTTTTTATTTTAAAAAAATAAAAAATGTCCTTGATAGTCCTAAGCACGGATGAAAAAAATTGAGAGAATTAAAAAAAAAAATTTAGGCCCCCCCTAGATTATATATTTTGAGTCACTGATTAGATTGTAAGTATTATATTTAATAGTTTTTATTTAAAAAAAAAAATTAAAAATGTCCATGATAGTCCTAAGCATGGATGAAAAAAATTGAGAGAATTAAAAAAAAAATATTAGGCCCCCTCTATAAAAAATTTCTGGCTCTGCCACTGTGTGTAGGCCACTCCGTGGGTTCCCAAAAAAAAAAGATAATTCAATAAATGATCAAAATTTAATTAAAAATAAAAATATGAAATAAATTGCACACATTTAAATCATAAATACAATTTAGAAAAAAAAAATGAAAACCCCATTAGAAAACCCTAAGCATATAAATAATGAAACTTAAAGAAAATTCAATAATTAATTAAATAA